CAACTTCATCACCATTACGAACAATGTTGCTCCTTGGCCAACCACTGAACATTGTGGCAGGTCAGGTAGCTGTTAAATTTTATTCTTCCTGCCGCAAGATCAGGAAAGGACTGCTGGTGGGTCGTCAAAGGGAACACGGCCAAGTTAATTGAGCTCCTTAAAGTCAGTAATTTTACTGGAGATTTTCAGTTAAATTTCAGACCGCTAAATTGTGAAACAAAAACAAAAGTTTCGGGCTAACTGACGCGACAACGGGTAAATCCTTGGCTCACTTTTCAGGCCAATTCAACCTACATATGTCGATTCAAATTTTCGGCTAAAAAGTTTGCATGAATTGCGAAATATTTATTAGCTCTATTCGAACTTTTCAGCAGTATTGGCAAGTGCACAAAAAGTTTCCACCCACACGCTCATTCCACACTCTTTCAATCATTGATTCATTTGCGGCACAAAAGTAGTAAACTTAATTTCACTCGATGCAACAAAAAAAAAGGGCGAGAAACGGAATAAAATATGTTAGCCCCCAACTTGTCTGTTCAATGCCGTTCGAGAAACTTTGCGAGGAGGTTCGAGTATATAAAAGCAGTTGCCCTGGTCGATTCGCTCATTTCACACCCAATCGCATTTCGGTTTTACATATTCAATTAGAAAGACGACTCCGTATCGATATCCCCCTGCTGTCAGCTGCAGGGATATTGCACCGAAAAGTTTCCCAAGTCCCAAGGATCAATGGCGAGAAAGCAGAAAATTATGTAAACTTCTGGTATTCCCATGTCATGTGATTAAAGTTGTACAAGTTCTCAAAACAAGCTAAGGGCAAGTCCCCCCTCCCCGATTTTGATATTTGCATAGGGATATAAGTTCTGTGACAATTGTAAAATCCTGCCGAAGGGGCGGAAAATGCCGACAGAGATATGTATGAGGGCTGCGTGTTGCTGTGTTACTAAACAAAAGTTAAGTCATAAATATTTTCCGAGTTTTTGACTTAAAATTTATCAACGATATCCGCCTTGCAGCCCCGCGAAATCCGAACAAAGGACACGCCAGCACACACAGGCATAAGTACAAATATGTACATAGACAAACACACACACACACATACACATACACACCTACAATATTTAACTTTGGTTGGTAAACTTTCCGACATGCAAAAGTGCAAAAATATATTTGGGAAATTTGTCAACTGGGGTTACAGTTGAGCCAGTGCTTCTCAAACTACTTAGCCCAGCTTGGCGAAATTTATAAATGCGATTTGGCATAAAAATTGTAATACTACAAGAAGGGAAACAAAATAATTTATTATGTCTTTAAATTTAACTGAAATACAGGCAAATTGCAAAAGATTTTATTGTTTGCAGTAAGTTTTTTAAAGAACTAATTTAAAAAAAATGCGACAATGTAGGGTTGAGCTTAAAAAAGGTATATACCCTTTAACCAAATATGTGGCCCCGACAACTTGTCAAATTGTTAACCAATTAAGCCTTATTGAAAAGTATCCTTCTTAGGCTTACGGTTCCCATAAGAAAGAAAAAGGTAAAAAAAAAAAGGTCAGTCTCCAATTTAAAGCTAAGAAAATGCGCCTTCCAAGGTCTTTGGACCCGGATTTCGGTCCCCGACAGACCCTTTATTAATGAGCCGTTGACCTTTACCGAAGATGGCCCGCAGTACGGAATTAAGTATAAAGAGCTGGCAGGTGAAAAGCGGAGTGTCCTCAAAGGACAGCCAACTGCCAGTGATTTTAATTACGTGAATGCAATAAGCGTGCGATGCAACCGTCAGCCTGAGGCAGCCGCAAAATCAATCAATCTTCTGATCGATCAATAATTCAATTGGCCCGACTGGCTCAAGAAAGTGGCAAATTAATTAAAAAGGCAAAACTCAGCCCGAAAAGGCAAATATGCTCGGTAAAGGAGGGAGTCGGTAAAAGCTTTTGGCCGCTCTTGCTTTCCAATTAAATTGATGAGTGGCCAAGGCCGAGGGATAACATTTATCAGCAGCAGCCCAGAAAGCAAAGGAAGACAATAGGAGCTTAAGAAGGACCAAGGAACCCGAGAAGCTGCACCGGGCGGACAAAGAGCGAGTGTTATGTAAATGACGCTATACAAAAGTCGAACAATGGTGGGAGAAATGGGAAAAAAGAGGGCGGGACCGGAAGACTAAAGTCAGATAAGCAAATGACAAACAGCGGAGAGAAGAAGGTAAAGGACTTGCAGGCAGGACTTCTTATCAAGGTGCCATCGCATAAATATCTTGCCGTTTCTAATGTTTACTAATGAAAGCCTTCCCTTTGAGCCAAAAAAAAAAACAAAAACAAAAACACAAACTTACATGCAAGTGCAGTTGAAACACATTTTGTCCCGAATTCAGCTTACTAACAATTCGCTGATTAGCAGTCAGGAAAACGAAATTAAAAGTGCAGTTAATAAGCTTTCCCCAGCAATTTCCTGCTTTTCTTGTCTCGCCAACTCGCGGTGTCCAGAAAACTTTATTCCTCTATTTTATCATAATAATTTCGGTGCCAAAAAGTTTTCAGCGCTGAAAACTTGATGGGCGAACGCCAAGGATGAACAGCCGGGAACTAGAAAGGTATATGTATATAGAGCATCGTTTTCATTAAAACTTTTGACACAACGAATTTGTTGATGTGCCACGGATTCGGGTACTTCTCCTGCAGGAAAACAAACAAATACAGAACGACCCTGCGAGTTTCAATTTGAAATCTCGAAATTCTGGCTGTTACGGCAAATGGCAAAAAGTCTCGCGTCCTACTACTTCATCTTTATGCTTTTATTAATTGTTTTTGCTCTAGCTTGCTGCTGCTGTTTGGCACTTGTAACTTGTTTGCGCAGCGAGTTTAGTTTTTAGTTTTCAACGCTTGTTCGCCCCCACAAAAAAATAAATGAGAAACAGAGCAGCAACACGAACAAGTGCGAAATGTTTGGCAACACTTTAGACGAGTTATGTTTCGAATGTTTGGAGGTGGGCCAGAAGTTCAAGGGGTTGGAAGTTTGTGTCGGATGAATCAAAGCGTAACAAGGTTCAGGTTGAGGGGTTACCAAAGCATTTAATTTCAATTGAAAAGGTGCGAGCAGAGAACAATAAATGTATTTCTTGAGTACTTTGTTTGATATATGAACTTAAAAAAGGCAATTCACAAACAAAAAGTATTAAAGAACTTTTTCTAGGTCTATCAGGTTTCTTATTAAATTTCCACTCAAAATGAAATTCAAAATAAATATTATTGCTAATAATGTTCATTGCAATACCCAGTGCCCAAACTAACCTTACTCATTTCTCATTTCCCAGCAATCAAGTTGGCAATTAATAAACGTAAGTAAGGCAAAGAGTCTAGGATTCATTTTCACTTCCGCTCGGCGCTCAACTCATTACAGTTTTACAAGCGATTCGGGCGTCATCTAATTATGCAAAATAGCACATTTCATTTGCAGAGAGTCGGTGTCTGTTCGCATTCAGGTCGGCCTTAAGTTGGATTCATTTTAACAATGCCATTTAAAATTAATTTTCAATTAACTTTCGCGGCCCGCGTCCAGACATCTGCCACGTTTCGCCGGAGACTTTGGGGCTTTGGCGTCCGCTTCAACTAGTTGGGAGTGCTAACAAAAGTTTTGTGTGCGCGCCTTCATAAATTAAATTTTCCGCTTTTTGTTTCTGCCAATTAAGTCAATGGTCGAAAGAGCGGAGGCGGCATTGTGAGTGATACTAATTTCCACCGACACGGAGGCTACTTAAACCGCCTGCCACCCAATCCACTTTGCCGGTCTTTCGCTCGATCCGCCAACAAAGGGGATCCGCATAATGGAAATCGACGCAGTTGAGCTTTTCGTGGCTCCGGCTTTTTACATCAGCCACCTGCGTGTCGGTCCGTTCCCCAATTGAAAACCAAATGCTGGGCTCCATTTGGAGCTCAAACTGTGAGAGCAAGACTTAACCCTTGGCAGCCGCAAAAACAACTGTTTGGAATGCATTTTACTTTCAAATGCCGTTCGTAGATGTTCGCCATAGTTGTTGTTTTACACTTGAAGAGAAACATTTTTAGTTCCTTTGAATTGAAATATTTTATTATTTTTAAAAGGGAGTGTGCTATCACATCTACTGGAATAAATAAGCAACAAAGTCACAACTAATTTCAAAGGGTTCTTTTCACCTACAACGGTTTCTGCCAGTGTAGTTTACAGCAAGCAACTGTAAATCCTTACTTTGAAGCAATTCCACTCCCGGCGCACATCTATCCACCATCCAGCTGCCTTGTTTTATCGCAAACGATGCCATTACAAGGCGATTTGAGCTCCATTTGTGCTGGCCATTCCCATTGCCAGGATAACTTGACAGTCACTTAGCGGGTTCGCGTCTCTGCCGGGGAGCGGAGTAGGGAAACCGGAGAAGCCGAAGGTGTGTGTATCAAAGTAGCAGTTGAAAGTACATGGTCGGAATGCTCTCAGATTAAACTTGTCCGGCGGCAACACCTGTGCCCGCATTGCCAAACCACTTTTCTCCCCCCAATGTTTTCCCTGACTGACGGGCAGCCAGGTGAGCAGAGCTGACGGGGCAGACGGTGCACGGTTGCAGAAGAGGATGCAAACGGCAGAACACTGATTTCAGCTGAAAGTTTGTCCGGTGCGCTCTGCCATATCAGCAGTCATGGCTGCCCCAGAGCAAAGTGCTTCTTTCCATAACGAGAAACTTCTCTTCGGTGGCGCAAACTTTTAATAGTCTCACATTTGAGTGTTCTAATCATATGCTAAACTGGCTAACGAGTCTCGCTGGGTATTGCTTTAGGTCCTGGCCAGAACTTCTTTGACAAACGAAGCGGGATTAAGAATCCAACATGTTTTTCGATGGCTAAAGTGGTAGTGCATCACAGAAGTTTTTAAGTAGCACAAGGGGGAGAACTTGTGGTATACATTGGAAATACTAAATATGTACTAAATATTTTTTCTTAATATTATAATTTTATTAGGATTGCTTAACTCGCTCACCTTGCCCAAATTGACGAAACCGTGATCCCTGGCTACAGCATCGGCCATACCATTATCGCCGTTCGGTATGTGCACCGCCCAGGTGTGCGTGTAGTGTCCGGTGAGTTGGTTGTTGCCCCCGGAGCTGCCCGATTGGCCGTACTTGCCGCTGTTGGGCGTCAACTTGGCCCTGCCGCCCGTCTCGTAGTCGAGGACATATGGCGGCAGCACCGGCGACTGGCCATTTGGATCCACTTTGAGTGATGACGACGGCGGTGGCGGCGGCGGTGGTGCTGCTGCGGGCGAGGATGAGGGCGCTGGGGGTGGTGGTGCAACTGGCGCTGAGCCGCCTCCCGATGCCGTTGCCACACTTCCGGCCGCGAAACCGACATTAAAATTACATAAAAAAACTACGGCACTAAATTGCAGAGCTAACAGCAGCACGGCTCTCGTTTTCGCCAAGTGTCTGCTGCTGCCGCAAATGATTCTGTTGCTGCTGCTGCCACTAAGTTTCGGTTTGCATTGCGTTAAAAAACTAGTTTTGAATAAATTGCAATCGAAATTGAAATTTCCTATATCACATTCAATGATTGTTTGTTGTTCTTCTTGCTCTGTTGCGGCGGCTCTCTGCTGACAACTTCTGCCAGCATGTGGCCCTAATTGTCGAGCATTTAATTTGTTGCTTTTGCTTCTGTGCTTGTGGTTGTTGCTGTTGTTGTTGCCGCTTTTGCTCTTGCCGCTTTTGCTGTTGCTGCTGCTGTTGTTGATGTTGCTAGTTGGCTGCCTGCTCCATCGCACGACGTCGTTTTTCATTGTGCGTGATGATTTTTCGAATGGTTTTTGTGCACGTTGCTCGGAATTCTGACTGTGAGTGGCTCAATGTGGGGCTGTGATGCTGTAATGAGAAAATTGTAAAAAAAAAAAAACATTTAATACATTTCATTTAAAGTAAAAGCAACAGAAAATTATAAACTATTATCTAAGAAGCAAGCTCATACAACTAAAACAAAATATATAAAAATAATTTAAAAATTTTAATTTATATTATTTGTTACTTCAGTGGTGACCTAAAGAGGGATCAAGAGTGATCATTCAAGGACGCCAAGACTAGGGAAACGATTAATTTTTGCTTTTCATTTGGAACCCAGTAAATTAAAGAAAACACATTTTGTATTGCCTTTTAAAAGCAATTGCTGTTTTAATAGTTGTACGCTTAAACACTGCATACAAATTTATCCTCAATTTCGATCCACAATTAATTGTCACATGTCTATGGTTTCTTGGGTTTCAGCTTTTGGGGCAGATATCACTTAGGACTGAACACAGCTGGTGTTTTCGGGGAGATCGCAGATGCCCTTCAGTCCGTTGAAGTACCGGTCACCGCAGCTGACCTTCAAGGCGCGCTGGTGGCGACAGATGTAGTAGTCGTTGCACCGCTCGGGCGAAGCCATCATGAATCCGTCGGGTTTGCCGTAGCAGGAAACCTTAAGCTGCACCTTGGATTCTGAGGACGAGAAACCCGCCAGTTGAGCCACTTCCCAAAGGAGACGGTGCACGGGGTTTCGGCGGACGGGATTGCGGTTCGAGTGAGTGGCGGCCACCGCCTTCGCGGCTGTGGGACAGACAGTGGTTGTTGTTACATCACCAGAGCAAACAGTGGTTGTTGTCACTGCGTCAGGGCAGGATGTTGTGGTTGTCTTAGTTGTTGGGCCACATGCTGTTGTGGTTGTCGTTGGCGCACAAGACGTTGTGGTTGTCGTTGTTGTTGGTGCACAAGTTGTTGTGGTTGTTGTTGGGGCACAAGTTGTTGTGGTTGTCGTCGTTGTTGGGGCACAAGTTGTTGTGGTTGTCGTTGTTGTTGGTGCACAAGTGGTTGTAGTTGTCGTTGCTTTTGGGGTACAAGTCGTTGTTGTGGTTGGAGCCTCAGTGGTTGTCGTTGTTGTTGGAGCTTCAGTGGTTGTGGTGGTGGTTATTTTTGGGGTACAAGTTGTTGTTGTGGTTGGAGCCTCAGTAGTTGTCGTTGTTGTTGGAGCCTCAGTGGTTGTAGTGGTGGTTATTTTTGGGGTACAAGTCGTTGTTGTGGTTGGAGCCTCAGTGGTTGTCGTTGTTGTTGGAGCTTCAGTGGTTGTGGTGGTGGTTATTTTTGGGGTACAAGTCGTTGTTGTGGTTGGAGCCTCAGTAGTTGTCGTTGTTGTTGGAGCTTCAGTGGTTGTGGTGGTGGTTATTTTTGGGGTACAAGTTGTTGTTGTGGTTGGAGCCTCAGTAGTTGTCGTTGTTGTTGGAGCCTCAGTGGTTGTGGTGCTGGTTATTTTTGGGGTACAAGTCGTTGTTGTGGTTGGAGCCTCAGTTGTTGTCGTTGTTGTTGGAGCTTCAGTGTTTGTGGTGGTGGTTATTTTTGGGGTACAAGTTGTTGTTGTGGTTGGAGCCTCAGTGGTTGTTGTTGTTTTGGGGGCCACAGTCGTTGTTTTAGGGGTACAAGTTGTTGTTGTGGTTGGAGCCTCAGTGGTAGTCGTTGTTGTTGGGGCCACGGTGGTTGTGGTGGTGATTATTGGGGCACAAGTTGTTGTGGTTGTTATTGTGGTTGGAGCCTCAGTCGTTGTTGATGTTGTCGGGGCCACAGTGGTTGTGGTGGTGGTTATTTTTGGGGTACAAGTCGTTGTTGTGGTTGGAGCCTCAGTGGTTGTCGTTGTTGTAGGGGCTACGGTGGTTGTGGTGGTGATTATTGGGGCACAAGTTGTTGTGGTTGTTGTTGTGGTTGGAGCCTCTGTAGTAGTCGTGGTTGTTGGGGCCACAGTGGTTGTGGTGGTGGTTGTTTTTGGGGTACAAGTCGTTGTTGTAGTTGTAGCCTCGGTGGTAGTCGTTGTTGTTGGGACCACAGTGGTTGTGGTGGTTGTTGTTGGGGCCACAGTGGTTGTGGAGGTCGTTGTTGGGGCACAAGTTGTTGTGGTTGTGGTTGTAGTTGGAGCCTCAGTCGTTGTCGTTGTTGTCGGGGACACAGTAGTTGTTGTAGTCGTTGTTGGGGCACAAGTTGTTGTGGTTGTCGTTGTGGTTGGTGCCTTAGTGGTAGTCGTGGTTGTTGGGGCCACTGTGGTTGTGGTGGTCGTTGTTGGGGCACAAGTTGTTGTGGTTGTCGTTGTGGTTGGTGTCTCAGTGATAGTCGTGGTTGTTGGGGCCACAGTGGTAGTGGTGGTCGTGGTTGGGGCACAAGTTGTTGTGGTTGTCGTTGTGGTTGGTGCCTCAGTGGTAGTCGTGGTTGTTGGGGCCACAGTGGTTGTGGTGGTTGTTGTTGGGGCACAAGTTGTTGTGGTTGTCGTTGTGGTTGGTGCCTCAGTGGTAGTCGTGGTTGTTGGGGCCACAGTGGTTGTGGTGGTCGTTGTTGGGGCACAAGTTGTTGTGGTTGTTGTTGTAGTTGAAGCCTCAGTGGTAGTCGTTGTTGTCGGGGCCACAGTGGTTGTGGTGGTCGTTGTTGGGGAACAAGTTGTTGTGGTTGTCGTTGTGGTTGGTGCCTCAGTGGTAGTCGTGGTTGTTGGGGCCACAGTGGTAGTGGTGGTCGTTGTTGGGGCACAAGTTGTTGTGGTTGTCGTTGTGGTTGGTGCCTCAGTGGTGGTCGTGGTTGTTGGGGCCACAGTGGTTGTGGTGGTCGTTGTTGGGGCACAAGTTGTTGTGGTTGTTGTTGTAGTTGAAGCCGCAGTGGTAGTCGTTGTTGTCGGGGCCACAGTGGTTGTGGTGGTCGTTGTTGGGGCACAAGTTGTTGTGGTTGTCGTTGTGGTTGGTGCCTCAGTGGTAGTCGTGGTTGTTGGGGCCACAGTGGTTGTGGTGGTCGTGGTTGGGGCACAAGTTGTTGTGGTTGTTGTTGTAGTCGAAGCCTTAGTGGTAGTCGTTGTTGTCGGGGCCACAGTGGTTGTGGTGGTCGTTGTTGGGGCACAAGTTGTTGTGGTTGTCGTTGTGGTTGGTGCCTCAGTGGTTGTCGTCGTTGTTGGGGCCACAGTGGTTGCGGCTGAGCACGGAGGCTTGGTGGTGGGCTTGACGCAGGGCGGAGTGGTGGTTTGACAAGGTGGAGCCGTGGTGGTGGCTCCCTTGCACGGCTGTGCGGTATCCCGGACGGAAGGATGGGCTACTGGCGCAACCACAACACCCTCAGTGCAACCGGGGTTGTAGTTTACGCAGCTTCGGCTTCTGAAGTCGTAGAACTTGGGACAAGAGTATTCCGTAGCCACCCCGTTGTAACACTCATAAAACCTGGAGCAACTGCCGGGCACCAGGGCCCGAATGCCATTGGCCTTGTTCTTGCACAGGAGTTGGCCCTGACTGGAAACGCTAGCACCGCTGGTGGTGTTTGCAGAGACTGCAATGAGCAGCAGGGCAAAAGCTGCAGGCCAAAGGAAAATTGGTTAATTCAAAGACGACACTTTTTGAAGCCTTGTTACCGTATATATTCCTCATGTCTGCAGTTGGTTCAAGTTCACTTTTCCCAGACTGAGAAGGTACTGTGGGCATTTCGAGTTACTGGCCTGTCTATTTATACCAGGCAAAATTTTCGATTTGCTAAAATACTCATTAACAAATTGGCCAACGAAATTTTGCAAAGATACTAACTTTTTTAAGTTTGATCTGTATCGCACTCTCCTATCACAATCAAGCGAGCATTTGCGAATGCAGTATCACAGAAGAGATTTTTATTATGAAAAGCTTTTTAAAATTAAATTTTTTTAGAATTCAACATATAACTTGTATTTGAACTTTCTTTTACGTAATAAAGCCGTAAAGCCGTAACAAAAAAATATTTGCTTTATAAGTAAAAAAAAAAAGTAAAGTAAGTAACTTTTACGTTAGAGTTAATTTAAGCACATTTGATAGACTTCTTATCAAAATTCAGAAGAAATTCGGCCTTTGGCGGCAAGCTTTCGTTTTATCAACTTTGCCAATAAAAAAGATTTTGCAAAAGGCACGCTCTTACTTATCTTAAAATTAAAACATGACCTTCCGTTTTATGTATTACAATGGTAGTGTTTATTTATACCTCGAACGTGTTTATTTATACGTCGAGACACACTTGTGCTCTACAAATTCCAAGTTGTTTTATATTTGGCACTAAAGACTTAGATAAGCGACAAATAGATGGTTAAAAAAAATATTGCAGTAAAATAATAAACTGCAAAAAAGACTTGTTGCTGTAATTATTTTCCTCCGGGATGTTATAAAAAATTATTAAGCTTATTAATTTTTAAAACTCAGAGTGTCTTATCTTTTCTCATTGAGAAACACCAGTAAGAAGGATAAATAAAAATAATTAATTATTTCCTCGCTCAAGCCAATTAGAACACGCTCAAGCCAATTTGCCTGCAACTGACATAACCAATTTGGGGCCCCTATACAAAACTTTAGGCTTATTGCGAAAGGCGAAAATATGCCAGAGCAGACGTACAAGGCCAAAATATGCACACAAGAACTTTTATCTGCCATTAATTGGGAGGGCAACAAAAGAAATATTGATTGCCACTTTGCATCGTTAGCGAGAAATTGGCAAACGAAGGCCATTTGGATGTTGACAAGCAGTGCCAAGCCAGAGGCCAGAATGGATTATGGCCGAAATCGGAATGGCTGGCCAAAAGCCACTAGCGCACTGATTGTCACCCGTGGACAAGTTTCGATTGCAAATGAGAATCAACGCGGAGCTGAGGCCGATAGAAGACTCGAAGTTTCCGACTAATGCCACTGTCAAAATATGCCCATGACTGATGATGGCCAGAGGCTAGTGCATTGACGGGCATATTTCATCTATTGATAGAGGATTTCTGGATTTGGCCAGTCACTCGACCAGAAAGTCGACCGGAGTGGGGGCGTAATTAAAGCGAGTGACAGCGGAAATGCCAAGCACAAGGAGATGGATCGTTTTCGGGGGGGTCTGAAGTAGACGAACTCGACGATGGCGATGTGTTGTTTGGACGGATTTGACGGGCAGCGACGGAAGCCGTTGGTGTGCAGTGTTCGGTCCATGGTAATCAATGGCTAAGTGGATAGGAAATTGAATTCTGTGTGGGGACGGCTTTCAATCGGCCACAACCCAAAGCGGAATGATTCTTTGTAATATATTTAGGACCCCCTGAAGCTCTTAATACCATTTAAGCGGGTTAATGGCTTTTCGAAAAGGGTCTTATCATTTTATGAACGAGGGGTTTGATTTAGATACTTTTTTAGAAAATCATTTTGATTATTAAGTGCATCTTTTTATCAATATGTACCATCGAATTTTAACATTTTTCCCCAGACAAACAGCTTGTAATCAAAGATCGTGCAAACTTGCAGGGAAAACTGTACGTATCTTATCAAATCACTCAAGAAATGTGAGACTTTATTTTGAAAAAAAACGTTGAAAACCTGTACAACTTTTTCGTACATTGTATGAGTACTTAACGAGTGGCGGATTTTATTACTTTCTTGGTGAAACTGAATATTGAATATTGAACAAGGAGCTCTGTGAGCTGAAAAACGTGAGCCCTTTTTAGAATTTCAAAACTGGCTGTGTGCACTCTTTTTGCACTCGCGTTACAGCTCACTTTCTGGGCAATGAAATGGACTGTCAACGTACTGCCACTCCTCTCTGATCCCATCGAAAGCCGATGCACATGGATGCACACGCCAAAGGGCAGCGGAGGAGACCGGCGACTCCTTTACATTGACTGTGCACCTTTTGTGCTCGAACTTCCTTCCGCATTGAGTCATCGTCAACACCATCCACAGTAGACTACTCCAGCTCCTGCTACTGCTCCTGCTCCTTCTCCTTTGCTGTCCTGCGTCCTTCAACGCCAACTTTGACTTTGACTGACGGCATTTGTCAGTGGCAGACACAAAGTAATCATTACTTGGCGCACTTCCGCAGCTGCAGCATCAGCATCTCCTCGCAGGCCCACTAAGCGTATACTTAATAATAAGAAAATAAGTGCCATGTCAACGAAGGCGTGGCAGTGGGCGGAGGTGCGGAGGACTCGCTGGCTTCCCTGCTCGCTCACATGCTAACGAAAAGTGGAAAACGGTGTCAAAGTCACCGACAACAGCGGCAGCACTAGTTGCCTGATGAAAGTTGCCGGGCGAGAAAAGTAGCGGCGATGAGTTGAAAGTGTAAGGCGGAGCAGCAACAACGAAACGACCTGACAACTTGAGACAAATTGAAGCCTTGTTTCACTTTATAAGGGAACACGCGGCAAGAAGGAGCGATTCGGTGGCCTTTGGGGTCAAAATCGCTTGACAACCAATAAAGTGCTGAAAGTAGTTAGGTTTCAGTTCGTAAACTTCCAAGCGAATCGGAGGTTGGCGCAACTTCTGGTTGATAAATGTAGTTCGTTCGATGAATATATTCAGACTTTTTTCCACACACGCAAAGCAAAAGACTATGACTTTTTCACCTCTTATTTCGATTCCAAGCAATTAACCAAAGTCCAGCTAACATCCCAATGGTTTTTCGCTTCATAAACTGATCTGTTTTCACTCAGCAAACAAGCCAGGCTTTTTGCAGTAGGAAAAAACTTTCCGCCCACAAACACACCAATCAGAAATCACTCAAATGCCCAACAGAAATCCTTAAATTGCTTAAGCCACAAGATTCAGAAAGGAAAGGAAAACAAACGCCGGGAAATAAAAGAGCAGAGCATAGAGAGATGACAATGCCAGGCATCGGTTTAACAGTCCTTGAGGCATTTTTTGGGCAAACAGCCCGACACTTGGCTGCTGCTTTGGCATCCTTTGTGGTTGTTTGCCCTGCGAGTGTTGTTGCTTCCTGGAGTCGTCGTTCCATGCAAAGCGCCATGTCAAATGCAGGACTGAAAGGGCTAAAATCGCTAGCTCGGATACCCAGGATACCGCACTGAAACACATTAAGCCAAGGAAGAGACTGCTGCTGCTTCGGCTGGAAAAAAAGGCGAAGCTGCAGTTGAAGCAGTGGTAGTTAGAAGCTTAAAAAGGCTACAAAACTGCAGGCTAGAAAGTCAAAAGGCGGCATTTACACTTTGAAAAAAGATACCATAAACGTTTAAAATACATTCATGAATTTCAATACTCTTTTTGCCTCACTTAAACCCTTTTTATTTATAACCTTATATTTATTCTTTGTAGTAAGTGCATTTAAGTATTCCTTTTTTTCAGTGATAGAAAAGGTTCTTTGTTGCTTTGTTTGTGTAGAAGCATTTGTCTTTTGGCCTCGCTTTTAATGTGTTTCGTGTGGTGGATTGAGGTGAGCTGCTTGTGAGGTGGCTTGTGTATAGTAGTTTTCCGCAGTTTTCTACTGGTGGCTTCACTTGTTTAATGATAGTTCCACAAAGGCAAATATGCACTCTCTCACACGCGCCTTGCTTTCATTCCGGCACCCTCTTGGCCCGCACATAACCACCCACACCCACTAAGACCCAAGACCTGCATCCTTTTTTTTCGCGACCGGCAACTGGAGCGCAAAGTCAACAACAAAACAGGCTCGGTTAACGCCCGCAGAAAGGACCGAGTGGAGCCCAAAAGAAGGCTAAATGCAGAGAGAGAGCCCGGGCCAAACAAAATGCATAACAAAAAGCTATGGCAAAGTGTCAGGCGAAGGGGCACAAGGGATATAAGGGGCAGGGCAAGCAAAGGCGAACCATTTTTTCGCCACGTATTAGCACACGATCGCCAAACAAAAGGTGTTGCATACGTTTTTGTGGCCAGCCGAATGCATGGAAACGCCATTTGCCATTTGCACCTGCCGCTGCAGAGCAATGCGGTGGTGACTGTACCAAAGTTGGCCGGGCTAGGCAACACCAAATGGATTTGACAGATGACAGTGCGAGAATTTACGTCGGGGATTGGCCAGCTGCTGTCAGGTCGCGTTAGGTTTGGCCAAGTTAGTAGGGGATTCGAGGGTTACCTTTGATGTCAACAAACACAGATGTACAGTTGTGCCCGAAATTGCCAGCTGGAAGTGTGTTACAGCGATAGAATGGTGCGCCATTTGAGCAAAAACAAAGAGTAGGCTTACAATAGGTTGGAAAAATATCTTGTATAAGGTACTTAAAAATCACTTATTCCTATAAGAAAGAATATACCAATTAACAGATTAAAGAAAAGCATGCACTTCCTTTAAAAATTCTCAGTAAAAATATTTCACCACTATCAACCCGTTATTTAAAAACCATTAAGCAATTAAGAACACTCAGATATAATCCCGCATTTATTTTAAAGTCAAAGGAAAATTGAATGCAAAATCATCCATGCATGCTATGATAAAATCTCGGTCGTCAATCAACCAGTTCCACGGCGGGCAAATTTACCTGAGCAACAATAAAATTAAAGTTATGTTAATACCCTCATCCTTGCGGTAATGAGACCAACGAATGCGGCTCTGGCTATCCGAAGGAAAATGGTATCGTGTGCTTTTCGGACCAACGGATTTTTAATTATTTCGCATTGTTTGTGCACCGCAC